CCCCCCTTGAGCAAAACTGAATGGAAAATTCTCTTTCATCCTTGATAGGGCCTCATGCAAATCTCTCCAGCTTTCAGAGTTTACCAAAACGTAGATCTAGAATCTAGGCCACAGCTAGGCTCCTTCTGAACTCCTTCATCCACAACCAATGTTAACTCTTCCGGGGAAAGAGCTTCACGCTGTTTTGTTCAGCCGATGAAGAAAAAGCTATCTTAAGGACTATTTTTAGCAAAATATCGCCGTAACTGTTGTTTCAACGAAAGTAAAGGAGGTTGCTTTAGGCTTTGGCTTTAGGTTTGTGTACCACTCTTTTTGGACATGCAATTAAAAGTAGAAAGACGCAAACTATTTTTAGGTAAGGCGCCCATCTTGTTTTACGTCAGACCCCTCCGATCACGTGACTACATCTAAGTATAGACAACCGCATGGCACCAAAGATGGAAGTGTCTATGTATATGATGCTTAATCTACACCTTTCTCTTGGAAGTTCTGATAGCTGATTTGACAGCGCATCTGCATTTGATGTCGTGCAATGAATTTTGGAGCGGTTCGATTCCGATCCTGGACAGTTTTTTTTTTCTTTTTTCCTCCTCCCGACTGACCAACAGTTCCATAAATTATAGGCCTAATTTGTAAGGTTGCTTTGAAGTTGTCTTTTTTTTTTTTTTAATGTATTAGTGATTAAAAATGCAGGAGGGGGGGGGGGGTAGATCTAGATATCTAAATTTAGATATTATATCTAGATTTAGATCTAGACATCTAGTCCTCCTGTGTCTTAACGGCAATTTTCGTGCGGTCTTCCATCATGTCCAAGTAGGCCTAGATCTACTAGAGATCTAGAATCTAGAAAATCCTAAATGTTACCGAAAACACATCATTCCATGTGGGTATCCCAGGAAGTGATGACATCACATTACTAAAATTAGCAGCCAATCAGAAAGAAGATGCGTCTTTTCTACGTTTAACGGGATGTCTCTTTTGGGGCTAGATTTTTTTGTATTCCAGTGCTCGACAGCTAAAAAAAAACGAAGTGATTATTCGGACTGGAGTCCGAATATGAAAAAATGTTATTCGGACTCTGATTCTTGTCCAGCATGACATCACTTCCGACTTCCTGTGACTCGTGAATCCGGCTTCCTGTCCTGCCTCACTCGTGACTCGCCTCAGGCTGGGTAGAGACCGGGATCACTTCGGGCAAAAAGGCGTTTTGTGCAGGAGCCGAGTTTTAATCTTATGATGAATTTGAGGCCGGCCTGAAAAGTTATAGCGCTTCTAATAAATGTTTATTTATCAAGAGGTCATCAGAAGCAATCAAAGATGGCTCGTTAGCATGTGTCGGGGTCGGATGGGCGGCCTGCACACGTGTGGCTGTGTGCGTGACGGGGAGGGTGGTGGGGGCACTATCGGTCTGGGCTTTGAACGTCACATAAGCGTCGGTCTTTTTCCCCCTGGCAACTGATCATTATTACAATAATAAGCTAGTCTTGACGTAGATCTACGTAATGAATACTTAATGAATTGTGCGCTGGTCTATGGAATCAAAAGTTGCCGTATGCTCAGCTCTACACAGCAACACAACTTTTTCTTGGTAAACAATCGATATGACACAGGCTTGTATTTGAACAAATCGGTTTTTTTTTTTTTACACAGCTCATAATATGCCAGGTGGTCTGCTAATCTTCAATTTTACCTTTTTCTATAACAAAGAAAGTGGGAAACGTGGGGGGGAGGCGTATCAATGAGGCGGCGGGCATTGGATCGGCAGATAAGGTGTGGGGGAAACTAAAAACGCAGTGGCTACGTTCACGGCGCCGTGAACGTAGTCTGCAGGCTAGGTTCACGGCGCCGTGAATGTAGTTGGCAGGCTACGTTCACGGCGCCCTGAATGCAGTTTGCAGGCGTTGTTGAGGCTACGTTCACGGCACTCAAGCTTCGTTTGGACGGAGCGTCCACTGCCGGTTTTAGTCAGTGACTACAGTGACGTATTTTTAATATTTTGGCCAGCTTCAAATGTTCCATCCCATGAGATGAAGGAAAACGAAAAAGCCTGGGAACCGACGTAGAGAGAAAATGACGGGAATAATTCTTATCATAATAGCAAACTCTCTCTCTCTCTCTCTCTTTCTGTCTGTCTCTCTCTCTCTTTCTGTCTGTCTCTCCCCTTTCTCTTTCCTTCTTCCTTCTCTCTTTCTCCCCCCCCCCCTCTCTATTTTCTCTGTCTCTGTCTGTCTGTCTGTCTGTCCCCCCCCTTCTCTCTCCCTCTCTGTTTCTCTCTCTCTCTCTCTCTCTCTCTCTCTCTCTCTCTCTCTCTCCCCCCCCCCCACACTCTCACTTTCTCCCCCCCCCCCCCCCCTTTTCTCCCCCCTTTTTTGTAAAGCCCTAAACTTGTCCTTTTCTCTAGGGGGCGCGCCTTTGAGCTTGACATCCCGCCAATATCGCGGGGGATGATAAGAGATAGAATCGCACAAAATTGGGAGGAGGA